AATCCGAGAAAGTAAACTCGAAACAGAAGCGTGTAACTCGCTATCAGGAAGCGTGTACACTTCCTTCCTCTATCAGATATGCTGACCAGGTTTTTGTGTCGTACGGATAAGTCACTCAAGCGAAATGAATAAAATGAACAAGGAGGTAGTTCCCTCCGCTCGCACGTTTAATTCCCGAAATTACTGAACGGTTTTAGATTAAATTTTCTGTAAGCGAGTTAGTAAAATATGTCGAGCGATTTTAATTTCGAACCGCATGGATCCAATATAACACCTGCTTTGTTTAAAACTCAAAAACGAGAGTTAACGACGTTCTTAAACATAATTTATAAAAACAAAAATAATGGCAAATATACGTTACAAGACACATATAACTCAAGATAACAAAACAAGTATTTCAAGTATTTTATTGTGTAAATATTTAACGAAATATAAAGAAAAATTATTTATAGTTGTATGTATTGTGATATCTTTGACGCGATTATGTTTGCAACAGTAGAATTTTGTACATCTGCAATAAATTATCATCAGAGTCACCGCTGTTAAATTCTAACTTGAGATTTTCATCCAAGTTTGTCCATAGTCACTCCAGGTTTTAATTAGCAGGGTCTATACAATATCCGCCATCCTGAACTGAGGGATAATATATTTATATCAGCAATAAATAAACACGGAAGGCAATGATAAATTCAAAATTTATATATAAAAAAGAATAATTTGTCTCTATGCAGTGTGAATAGTTATTCATCAGTAAATTGCATACCCACAGACTCTCTTTCACTCTAATTTTAAATAAGCGCTGCTCCTTAGTTCCTTTACAGTACCATCTTTAACAGGAGATGAAACTGAGGGACAAATCGATCAACGTGTCCAGGACAACCAAATAATTATTTATCAGTGTTGATTATAATCAACACTGATAAATAAAAACTGCATATGAGAAGTTGGGTAGAGAGAAGCGGTCGTTGATTTATCTACTTTGTTACAACGTCCATACCAGGCTTCATGTAAATCGGTCAACTGGTTCAAAATTATAAGCGAAACAAATCCGAATTTATACAGACACGCCTACTAAAAGAGGACGAGGTACCTTGAAGAACACGGGTACATTCGTGGAAGGCGAATGACGTGACACAGCATACATCGGTGAAATGAGAATTTCATAGAACTTTGTGATTGTAAAATATCAACAGAAGATACTTCTTAGGAGACAGCGTAGATGACAGGATTTTCGACATTTTTAGCAAGTTAGATAATTAGTCAGTTAGATAGTTACAGTTAGGCAGTCAGAGTAAGCAGAAGGGAGCTTAATGACAAAGTTTCAGAATCAGAAACGCCTACCAGTACACACCAGCTCAGAATGACAAAAACACAAATATTGACATCCGTTAGCATAAGGTATTACAAGTTGTAATATTGATTAATATATGTAATTCATATAAGGGTGGGCGTCTAGGCGCATGGTTTCTGAACTGCACAACTCTAGCTGCTGTACAGGAACAAGGGAATGGTGGCTTCCGAAGCCCCACTGAAGCGTGACAAAAATAGCTGTAAGCAGTCTCTTCCCATCAGCCCATAACCGAGAGACACGGCGAAATAGCCACATGTTTCGCCACCAGAATTATTTGCCCTCTTTGACGGTACAGTCCTATTCGCGCCTTTGTATCATCTAATCCTAGAAGTTTCCTAAGTTTCCTGTTCAGTGAATGATATAGCGAATATGTGGTCTAGAGATGCATTTACGAGGAGATCTAGAGCAGACTAAATTCAGAGATCTGTATTTCCGTGTAATTCAGAATCATTTATCCTCCCGTCTTCTAGATAAACAAGATTGGAATGGTGTACTTCTTGGAACAATTCTCTCTCTGGTGATAGGTATGTTCTGGGTTGTTGCACCGTGTAGTCAGGTAGAAGTTTACTGACGTTTCAGAGTTCCTTGCATCGCCCTGATGATGAAGGCAGCAAGGACCTCTGAAACGCCAGTAGACTTCTACCAGATGACATGATACAACAAACCAGAAGACAGCAATCTTCAGACTCACTGCTGTGAAAACTTCAAATCCTACTTAATTATCTCTTTGGCATCATCAGTGAATCCATTTCTAGTAAAGCACACAACTAAATACGGTTGGTAATCTAAGTGTTGTTCAATCTACAGTAGAAACACATACTTGAGGTAAAATCTAATGTTCACCACTATAATCTCAACTGCCAAAAATTTTTACATGCATAACTCATTGCCCTTATCACGATTATTCCATATATTTCTAACAAACTGTACGACTTTTATGCAATTATTATCTTAAAATTTTAACAAGTTTTTAAAACCCTCAGAACTTTTATGACTGCCACATTTCCAATTTGTGTAAACTTGGATATTATTATTATTTTTACTGGTTAGATTCATCTCTGTCACTATCTTGATATCCAGTTATTATCTGCTGAGAAGTGACATTTTATATTAACATTGTGTATGCCCCTGAATATTGGCCCTGGTGGCCCAAAACACATTGGTTGAATAAGCCTTCAATATACTTAATTACATTAGATCAAGCATGTCAAACTTGCGGGCCACATGCGGCCCACAACGAATTTTTTTGCTGCCAAGCCAATGTAACGGTATGTAAGAAACGTTTTAATAAAAATTTCGTAACTTAATTTTTACAATATCCTGTTATACATAATTATTAATAACGAACTACAACGTTCACCAATGACTGATTACTATAATCGTGTTGCATCCATTTCCCCCCACTAATACTAGCAGCAAATATTTTAGCAGCCGATTATATACCTACTACCACGTGCCAGTGCCACGTTATTAGTCTTGTACTGACTTGAGAGAAGAGATGCCAAGTGTCAGGAAGAAAACATTAATTTTATCGTTCTTGTTCTTTTTTTATATACTATACTTTTTGAAATAAACCTACGTTTCTATGAAAATTGGAGTTTTTGTTTTTTTGCGGCCCACATAAACTTAAACCTTGTTTATTTGGCCCGTGTTAGCTTTTGAATTTGACATGCTTGCATTAGATGGTTTTAAGTGACACTGTTTCTAATATAGCTGCATGGCATCCAATATGAAAGTATGTTTGGATAATAACACACAATAACATTAAAAATTCGGCATGAAAGATGGAACCTGTAAAAAAAATGTGATGTGGATGTTGGTAGCGAAATAAACACTAGAACAATATCTTATTGAGGCTCAAGTACAAAGCCACATGTATCAATATGCACCAATGAAAAATAATGACATAAGCAATGCCCAAATATGAACTAGTCTTTGATTATATACAATTATTTAGCAAACCACTAATAAATATGCATAATGTATACACCTAAAATGATCCTGGGCTACCAGTACCAATAATGGAAAATTACAAATTATACCCACGCTATAATATAGGAACTTACAAAAATGTCTTTGAAAGTCATGCCTGTAGAATCTAATCCCATAACTGTCATGAACACAAGGCTGCTTTCCAAAGACTTGTTTTCTTACAGATCTCAAAATCGTTTAGATGAATGGCTAGTCTGCAGTATGACAGTAAATGTGATTAACTAACTGCTTCCTTACTGAAAATCTTTTCCCACAAATTTCACATTCAAAACGCTTTTCATCACCGTGTGTGAATAGATGTGCAACAAGATTTCCCCGTGATGAAAAACCTTTCCCACAATGTGCACACATGAACGGTGTTTCTCCAGTGTGTCTACGTTTATGTATAACGAGATTTCCAGGCACAGAGAAACCCTTCTTGCAAATGGTACACCTGAATGGTTTCTCCCCAGTGTGTGCACGTCGATGTGAAGTTAGATGTCCACTGACAGAGAAACTTCTGTCACAAACCTCACATCTAAATGGTTTCTCACCAGTATGAGTGCGCTTGTGTTTTACAAGACTTGAATTCTCTGAGAAACCCTTTCCACAAATGTCACATGTATAAGGTTTTTCACCCGTGTGAGTGCGTCGATGTGAAACAAGATGTCCCCTCAAAGAGAAACCCTTTCCACAAATCTCGCACTCGTAAGATTTCTCACCAGTGTGGGTGCGTTGATGTCTTGAAAGATTGCCGTTCAAGGAGAATTCTTTCCCACAAATATTGCACTTGAAAGGTTTTTCACCAGTATGAATACGTCGATGTTTGAACAGGTTTCCTCTCAAAGAGAATCCCTTCCCACAAATCTCACAGTTGAAATGTTTGTCACCACAATGCACAATTTTATATTTATCACAACTTCCGGAGAATGTTTTCTTAGAAATTTCACAGTCGTAACGTTTTCCACCAAAGTGTGTGCGTAGGTGAGAAACAAGATATCCATTCCTTGCAAATCCTGCCTCACAAAACTCACATTTGAAAAGCCTATCAACAGAATGTATGCACTGATGATTGACAAAATAACTACTGTCAGGGAATCCTTTTGCACAAACATTACATTTTAAAGGCCACTTAACAGTATGATGATTTTCTGAATTCACCGATGAACTGACTCTGCCTCCAACGGAGTATGCTTCAGCACTGTAACCATATCACTTCTACATCATTAATGTGCTCTCAAGAAACTGAATTCCAGTTATATTATGGAACTACAAGAAATGCACTTAATGGACAAAAAAACAAATTTCAACTTAAGGATGATGCAAAGAAATGCAAAACAAAAAAATTAAAATATTCTTCTCAATGGAATAGGAGTGGAAGCATTATAGTCTTGAAGATGGCAGTCGTCTGGGTTGTTGCGTAATGTAGTTGGTAGTATAGTGTGTCACCCTGATGAAGGCATGAAACACCTCTAAAATGTTGGCAAACTCCTACCAGCTTACATTGTACAATAACCTAGATGGCTAGCCACTTTTTACTTGCTGAAAACATCAAAGCTCTCATAACAATCTTATCGGGACGTAAAAATGTGGTAGCTTCAACGTTTCAATTGATTTCTCAGAACTTTCAATATGAATGAAACGATGGAAGATCATGCCAGGAATGATAGTATGGGGCCACATTTTTAACCTTTTAATGCTCAGTGCTAATTACATATACCATCAGCTATAAAAAAAATAAAGCTATCCTGCCACGTTCCATGTAGGCACTCGTGGGGAGAGGTATATAGGTCTTGCTCATTCTTAACCTTGGCACTAGATGAATGTAAGTGGTCAGCATCATGCCCTGGCTGCGCTTTACCCCAGGGAAAGAACCACCAGGACCCATTTGACAGGCAGCTGGGTGGCACCTGATATGGTCTGGATGCAGGGGCTAGAAGAAAATTCTCTGCCCCTGTTAGGGCATCAGCTATAATAATCAATAACTCTGCATACAGCATGCAGAGTGCAAGGTTTCATGCATTTCTGAGTAAACAATTATTTTCTTAATCATTTTTAACCAACTGAGCTTCTAATGTAGAAGCAATGTGTTTTGGTAGGGACTAAATTTTTAAGTAATATTTAGATAAGCTATAACTTCAGAGGGTTGAAGTGAATATTAAAAATTACTAATAATCAAGCACCGAAACATTTAAGACAGGATGGAGACTAAGTAGGTCACTGAAAGTGGCAAATGGGGAATGAATAACGATCCCTACAGTTTGTTACACTCCACAAACTACAATACATGTTACCCTCCTTCCTACAGTTCAAAACATTTTTACCCTCAGAGATTTTTTTAAAAAAAGGCAATTGTTTCAAGTCAATGCCTCTTTAAAAATATAGCTACTGAAGAATGTGTTCACTGCAGGTGAAACATGGTAACATGTGCTACAGATGCATTAAACCCCTCAGTCCAAGAATGTAGAACTTGGTGGAGCACAAAATCTGTGTACCCAGTTTCAATTTAAATACTATACAAATGACAATATAAACATGTGAATTCTTTCTGGATGACAAAATCATTTATCGACACTTGTAAATCTGGTCCAGTACATGATTATGATTAGCCCTCAAAAGGATGACCTCCTTTTGAGGAATGACCATACAATACATTATGACAAATTGTATTTCAAAAGGTTTCTGTGGTGTATATTTTCAAACTGCGCACATTTTCAGAGAATCTAACCCACAAACACTTAATCACAATACCACTCAGTCTACAACTCTGTCGTACATGCAACATTTCATGAAGTCTAGCACCTTTTATCTGTATTTTGCACGCACTCGTGCTTCTCAAAAGAAATATAAGTGACGTTAACAATGTATGTACAAGTATAAAAGCCATGAAGAAAGAAAATAATAATACCTTCTTTATTTAAAGGATATACACACATACTTGATAAGAGTCCATGACATTATTCATGAATTTCACTGTCTGAAAACTCCTCAGGAACATATTCTTCGTGAATATGGAGATGTGTCATTCACACGTCTATTGACACATTAGAGTATGACAGGTGAAGGAAGATTACAGGGGACAAATAACGCAAACTGCATTACATTTCCACATCTATATAGCAGTACTCTAAGATAGGAACGTGACTACTTCATTTTACCGAGACACACATAGAACTTCCATTACAACTTGTGACCATTATTGGCCACATGTGACGGTAGCCCCTGCTGCCTCCATCATCATTACCTCTGATATATTGGTAGACTTCTGTCAGACTACATGATGCTACAACCCAGAAGACAGCCACCTTTGTACTCACTGCCATGAGAACCTCAAATCCTAATTCATGAATACTTTACTGCCTCAAAATTTAAGATAATGAGTAAAGTATCCTTTGATGTCCTGTCAAAATATAGAAACTAATTTTTATTTTCATCAGCGCAGATGCATCAGTTAGTTCTCTTGAATAATTCACATGCTGCCAATTGGCAATACTGCTCTTTTGAAATGTCACTGGTAGCAACAACGTTGTAGCAGTGATATTTTTGTCTTCTACTGCAATGTGCATTGAGACTTGACAACAGTGACTGGTATTATTTCCAAATTATGGTGCTGTCACATCACAGAATGATGAAAGGACTGATCATTCTAAATAATGACAAAATATGATCAGCTGATCTGTATGATGGACACCCAGTTGTTCCAACTGTGGATATTAGAATCAGACCATAAGACAGAGAATAAAACAAAATTTACACACAAGCTATCAATAGCGTGATTCCTTGTTTAAAATCAGTCAAAAATATTATACATAAAATGTCCTGTGATGTTTAGTTTTCATGGTGTTTAGAATCAGGCCATAACAAAAATGTTGGTTAAGCTTAATGCATTACATCTGTCATGCAAATTTCATAGATGTCAATGTTTTTATTCTCATAAATGCACTGCAGCAAATTATCGGCAGAATGCAGATGGGACTTGTGGAGGACTGCTTTCGAGGAAAGGACCCTACTTAAAGGCTATAAGATATCTGCAATTTCTGATCCTTTAAAATAAGTTACATTTCAAACTAGGCTTTATTTTATTTTTTTGAGAAAGCAATGAGCAGCAACATTCGAGTTATTTTCAGATTTCAAAAGTGAAATGACTTCTGCTGAATGTTTTGGGCACTGCTTTTCAACATTGATGGAACTGTGCACCAGGATTTAATCCCACAGCAATAAACAAATGAATCAACATTTGAGGCATTCCAAATAGCAGTGATTAACTTATAAGTTTCAAGAAAAAGTTTTCTGTTTGTGAATATACAAATAATATAAACATTAATATTGAATTGAATCACTTCTCTGACTACTGAGATATATCAGGCTCATTATTTTTGAAAAAAATATATTAACCCAAGTGAATTTAGGACATTTTTCCTTACAGTCCATTATTACTAAACAGAGTTAACTTAGGTCACGAAGAAAATGTATCAAACTCTAGATTTCAGTAAACAATGAACTGCTTGTGTACTTATACACAGCTATGCTAGATCACACATGAATATGACTTTTCGGCTTCTGCAGCAAATGTCACAGGTTTTCACACTAACTGCAGTGTCACATGCGTGCTATGGATGGGACAGTTACTTTTTACAAATAATGGATAGTGACCAGAGATAACTTGGGGTAAGAACAAATTTATTATATAAACATTTTTTTCAGTACAATTAAATATTTTTCATCAAAACTTGTATCAATACTTTAATTTCTGTGGGCGTATTCTAACGTGAAATAAAAAAATTAGATTTTTTGGGTCATATTTTAAGAAAAAATCAGGAACAGACCATGTTGCTCATCATGAACACCCTCTATCACATTCACACATCAAAGATTATGCCAAAGCCCTTCTACCTAGAATGCCTGAATTCTACACAATGTCTGCAGTAAGCTGTGAGGCAAATAACATCCTGAATTATGGAGCCACAAAAATGTCTTTATCCAGTCAGCTTTGTCTGAATACGAATTTATGGCCAGAAGCTGCCTAACTGTTTGCCCTGACCCATTGCGGATAGCCCAGAGTGTACTTTTTGTGCTTCCAAAAACTCCAAGGAAAGATGTGATGACATCAACAAAATTAATTTTAAAAAAAGCGAATTGCAGGGTTCAAAACACAGGACTTCCATAGATATTTCCAACATGGATAGAGTCGCAGTATTAGGTCACAAGAGCACTAATTTGTAAAAGAGAGAACAGAATCACAGGTCAATAAGGTAACGATACTAATGATAAGTCCAAGTATTTTTTATCAGTGTCTGTATATCTGATATCTACAAACACTTAGTCCTTCCTCTAATCCAGGGGTGGCCAACCCAAATGATCTTTCGGGCCACTTTGGAAATGCATCATAACTCCGCGGGCCACATATAAAATTATATATCCCCATATTAGATTTAGATACACTATAGACATTTTTTTGGAGTGAAAAATTGAAACATAATGACAGATAATTTTTGAATATATGGATGCACAAATAATGTATTTTTTTAATACATTGGTTTTCACTACTTTGGCCATTATAAAATAAATATACTTTGTAAAAATGTGATGAATCTCGCGGGCCGGAAAAATGTTCAAGGCGGGCCACATGCGGCCCGCGGGTTGGCCACCCCTGCTCTAATCTATGGCCTAGCCATTTTGACAAGATGATGAGCTATCACCAAGAAATATGATACAAAATACTGTATTAACACACTCACCCCTGTGGAATCGGATCATGCTCCTCTATTGTTACCTCATCCTTACACTCTTCTTTGATTGCAGTATCACCGCAGAGCTCTTCCTACAATCAAGCACAAATAAGTTATAGTATTTGTGTGTATGCAGATAAGTGGATGTCCTCTACACCAGAAACAATGGTTCTACCACCATGACTCAATATATAATAATGTTTGTGAAAATAGACTATAGTTAACTGGTTATAAGAAATTTGTCATAACCCTTCCACTCTGATGTTTGTAGGAAAGTGATACAAACTTCAAATATCTCTTGGGACTCTCAGCATATTTTCATAATAGTTTTCGTTGTGCTAAATAAAATTTGTCTTTTATTGCTAAGACCTCTAAAATGGAAATCAACGTACAGATTGTAGGATTTGAGGTTTCCATGACAGTGAGTCAGAAGATTGCTGTCTTCTGGGTTCTTTCGCCATGTAGTCTGGTAGATGTTTACTAATGTTTCAGAGGTCCTTGCTGCCTCCATGATCAGGGTGATGATGGAGGCAGCAAGGACCTCTGAAATGTCAGTAAACATCAACCAGACTACATGGTGAAACAACCCAGAGAACAGCAATCTTTAAGCATCTGAGTTGTTTGCATTTTTTACTGTGCCAATTATCTTTTTATTTGTTCAAAAAATTCCAAATGCAGTTGCAAGTTTACAGATGAACTGCAAAGGAAATCCTTTTCTAAATAAACAAAATGGAACGACATCAGTCCTTATACTGTGACAGTGATGAAACCTGTTATTGAGTTGAAAAGTTTTAAGTGACCATCAAGACAATTTGATATTTTATAAAAGTCTTAATTATTGTAATTTTCCACTTATATTAAATACATGGAGCGTAATAATGATATGTACAAAAAGAAAGAGCATGGATGGCACTAAACTTGTCACATGCTGTAATGTGTCCCACCTTCCTCTTCATATAAGAATGGCAGTGTTGTGGTTTGTAACACTAAAAATATGGCAACCCTATCAACATTGAAATATTGTCTTTGTATGATTGGCAACACTGTTGAAACCTGGTCATACTGTGAGTGTGGCTCAATTGTAAGTCCATTTTTGCCAAGCATGTGGAGTGTGATGGTTGCTATAGTACATGTTCACACCAAGGATGAGCAACGTTAATGACTAGTCTTATAGCAATTTCCACAACAATTAACCTACAGTTTCCAAGAATCACTAATTGAGCATGCTTCACATTTTGCTCATTTGTGGATGTGAATGGGCATCCCTACCTGTCAGCATCAACAACAACGGTTTGGCTGATATATGATTTGAAGCTTTCTCTGTGACATTTTTATCATTTTTAATTTAGTGTTCTGTCTGACGACAGGTCCAGGTCCATATGAACAGGATCCTTCCATCCTTTTCTCGGACTGGGACCTGTTCATATACGTTCTTGGCAGATGATCCAGAAGTGGTTTGCCATTGCCTTCTTCTGTGTGTGAATGGAGTAATTGTTGGGATGCCACGAAGGAAAACTCCGTGTTGCCTAGACCACGGCCTTGCCCAACACAAGTTATAAATTCGGGCAGCGCCGGGAATCGAACCCGAGACCCCAGGATTACAAGGCCAGCGTGATCAGCCATGTCAGATGGTTAAACAATGAAACCAGCATTTCAGGGACCATATCTGTCCCCATCACATGAACCTTGATGATGGGTGATTGGCCAGGAAAATTTTATTGAATGGTTTGGCTGCTTTCAAACATTTCAGTCCACTCATCCACACTTCACTGTGGCAAACAGTTTTGTCCAGACTTGGCAGCGAACTGTTGATGGATTTCTGTACCTACATTCCTTCAGACACCAAAAAACATAAAGTTGCTTGTACTTGGTGTACACGTCTAGAGCAGCAGTCATCTTCATACCATTCTCACTTGTCACAAATGGACAATTGAACCACACTTGCAGCACGTCACCACATGACATTCAGCTACAGCATGACAAGGCCTCCACATTCTTGAGACTCATATAATGAAAATATTCCAATTGCCACTGCTGTTTCTGAATCTCCTTCATATATACACATCATAGGTCAAAATACTTGCACTAATATATACAATAGTTTCAAAAATACTTAATGGCTCACATAATTTTTCTAAAAAGCAGTGTTACAAAAAATAAAAATGTAGAGCTTCCAAAAGAACCACCTCTATAATGGTGACACCATCCTTCACTCACTGTTTCATAAACAAAAGATGAAATTTAAAAGAAAATTGTAAAACAATGGCTGATCAGCACTACATTATAGTACCAAAATAGTTTTGTGTGTTCTCATAACACAATTCATGCATGTTACATCAGTGTTCTGCAAATGTTTTCACCTGCAACATACCCTAATTTGTTAAAAAGACACAAAATGGTACACCATCAAATATCACCTCACAAAAAGGGGATACATCACCATACGTATGTATTCACACATAAATCCTTGCAGGTACATGAAAACAAAACGTAACACATGTTGAATAAAACTACTGATAACGAACCTGTGTGTGAGTGTATATTACAAACGCCAATTCTAAAAGATGAGATATTGCCTTTTTCAAATTATAAAGTTGGAATATACAATAACATATAAGAATGCAACACACCTGTAACCTTGTGGTGGTAAACTGGTTGCAGAACACTGCTACACTTATATTTAAAACTCTGGATCCTCCAGGGAACAACAGTGAATGATTTAATTTAGTAACTCCACGTTGAGAGGTTACTTTCTCCTATCAATACATCATAGTGACAGTCCTAATATTTCTTTATTTTGTGGCTTCTGAAGTGAAATACAAACCATAAATCTAACATTTTTAATAGCAATATCAGAAATGTTTTAAATGGAAAGTCATTTGCTGTGATTTACATGATATAACAGCTCAAACTGATATAAAAGGACACTTTTTATTTTTCTGGAAATAGATACAGACATTAGATACACATTCATAATGGCTGACAAATAATTCTAAACTCAAACGCAGAGGGCGAATGAAAGAGAATATTAACCGTAACTTACTGTTACTTCGGCCTTCACTGCAACAAATTCAATATGATCAAGAAGCGGTTTGTTGTCAACCAGCTTACCCTCTGAATCTGCATTAACGGAGTCAGAGTCAGTGTTTGAATCATCCATTACTTTCACTTTATTCAAACTGTGCTGTAAAAAAAATTCACAACATATTCTCTAAAACTGTTACTCAGCCTTAATTGTTATACTGTCCTAACACACTCCATATTAATCTTTAGTGTGTGCATCCTGTTATCATATAGCTAAAATAACATTTTGATATAAATAATATCCATCTGTACAGCTTTACAGCTTTCATTTTAATGTCTTTTTTACAATATTACTACAAGTTGTGGTCTAACCTAAATCATCTTCACGGTGGCATGTAAGGTTTTTATTGAACTGTGTGAAGTTCATCATCTATTAATATTTAAATTACAGGAAGACATAGCTCAGTCAGTATAGTGACTGGCTACCAACTGGATGACCAGGGTTCGATCCCTGATGGAGGTGGAGGATTTTTCTTCTAGCCTCTGTATACAGACCGGCTCTGGGGCCCCTTGCAGCCTCCTTTCCAGTGGGTACCAAGGTCCCTTCTCGAGGATTAAGTACGGCTGGGGTATGACTCTGACCACTCACCCCTATCTAGTGTCGACATCAAGAATGAGTACAAGCTATACCCCCTCTCCTCCAAGTGTCTACATGGTGCATAGTGGAACAACTTTACTTTTTTTATTATAAAAAAACATGTACACTAGATCTGTGTTTAAAACTTGAAACTTTGGAGCTTTTTTAATAACTAAAAATAGTTTTTATTATATTTTCTTATCTAAGAGTAAGAGTTAGTCAGAATAAAGGTCAATTTTATATTAAAACAAAATAGGAGATTTCCGCAGTTTCAAAGTACAGGACCAACCTGTTTCCAACCTATGTATAAACTTTCTGTGGCTCCTAGTTCAGTACTGCAATGCTGATTATAGTTAACTGGAATGAATTCCACAGAATGACATGTAAAGATTAATTAATTAGATTACTGACCGGTCCACATGAAAGTATCACAATGCAGAAGTTTAATGAAATTTGTGATTCTGACTTGCCTACAACTGCTTTAATTCCAAAAACTTTATATTGGTATATATATATATATATATATATATAATGTGAGGATCATAAAATACGAGCATGAAGAACAACTCACCTCAGTTTCCCAATCCAAATTAGGGAATGCAGAATACTCTTCTTGTTTCACATGAACCAGTTTGTTACTGCTTAATGAAGACACTGGCAACGTCTTATACAAATCAGGTTCAACTTTGATTGCATTCATGTTGTGCTGTAAGAATATATAACAAATAGATTTTTAATTTTTTCATGGAAATCATCTCCGGGTGTTTCAAATATGTTCACGGCACAGGAATTCTTTCAAAACACACAGACATATTCACATTCAAATATTACTTAGTAATTCAGACTCTGTGCAAACACTAGCATGTGGAATAAAATTATTTCTTATTAAAATGTCTTATGTCATGTTCATTTTCAAGTAGTCAACTATGTAAGTAAAGTTCCCTGAGCATTTAAGCATCACATTCGACTCGCTCACAACTCGTAACTGTTCTTAAATTAGAATTAAATATGGCGATCTGATTCGTGCCCCCAAAATCACCCCATAACTTCAGGAACGCACCTGAGAGCCATACTCAAATTCCATTGGTCAGTCGCAGTGAGGCGATGGTTGTAATGCAATCGTCATTCCACATCTGGAAAGGCTTATGTATACATTGTGTAACAACTTACACGATTGCGCAATCTATGTTTATTTTACGTTCCCTCTAGATGGAAAGTCAAGAAGAGAGATGTTCAAGCGACCGAGTGTGGCCACTTTCTTCCAATTTAATACATTTAACAATGCTAAAATTAATAAAATCGATCAAATTTGGATGAAGTAAGGCATACCAAATACCATCTAATCCAGTGCTTCCCAAACCTGGGTATATTACCCAAAAATGGGTAAAAGTGGTTTTTCTTTGGGTAACGACACACACATTTCTGTGTGACCTGACTGAAATCCCCGATAGTGTTAACGGTTTTGCAGAGCAAATGATGGAACTTAGGTCAAGCAGTCAGTGCAAAATGTTATTTCAAGAAAAAAGGGACCATTTGGAGTCTTTCTGGTTAACAATTAACGATGAATATCCTGCGGTAGCTGGGGAGGCCGTGATGCAAATTATTGCAGTTTCCGAGCACCTACATGTGTGAAGTAGGATTTTCCACTCTTGCCTTCATAAAGAGCACGAAACAAAACTGTTTGCTGAACCCCCAAAACGATTTGAGATGTGCTCTGTCTCCAATTCCTCCCAATGTTTCGGAACTAGTAAATAATATGGAGCTGTGGCATTTTACTCATTAGCTGGGACCTGGGTGATGAAATATTCATGGTGAATAATTACCAAACTTTTTGTGGCTGCTAAAATGTTTAGAGATGTTTAAAATAAAGACATTGCATCAAACACATTGTTTTCTTCCTATTTTTACCGATCTCTCTTCACTTGTCATATATGTTTTCTGTGCAGTTAGTGTTTTACCTACATTGTGTTTTACCTACATTTCTGATAAGCGGTTTTGGGTAATGAAGGAAAAAGTTTGGGAAGCAGTGATCTAATCACACCTCCTTCGTTTATATAAACCAGATTAACATGCCAAAGCCTGGTTTACCCCTCATCTCAAGGTTCAGCCCGTTCGGGGATCGAACTACGAACTTGGACTGGCACAGTATGTAGGACTGAGGACAACTGACTGAACAAAACAGGCAGCAATGGTACAGCCACGAGACTCAAATTGTTCGCTTCCATCTGCAATGCGAGACGAGGTATTTCCACAAGTGAGACATAAATTCTACATATTACATTATTACTCACACAACATTGAAATTCACAGGCACAGACAACGCAACCACGGCTCACCGTAGACCAACAACAGAAACCTCAACTTAGGCCAGTGGACATAAAGTTAAGTAACTCAACTTAGATAATACACCAACTCTTGTGCAACTAACGTCCAGTGTGGTATTACTTAAAGTATAGTTTTATAAAGTGTTACCTTTTATGCTTCATAACAAACCATCGTCTTATGAATTGTATGATTTAATATGAATTAGCACACTCCTTTCTGACAGGCCATTTAAACAGCGCCACAGTGTCAGCTTAGATGATATTTAAATCTTGAAGGGTTAACATATTAGCCATGGAGGACATTTAAAAGGACACTAAAACCTTGAATGCCAAAACTGCATTTTCTCTCTTATGTTACAACAAATTCTATAATAATAAATATGTATTTCTCTATTTAAGTTAATTTACCATTGGCTAAAATTTGTTTGGAGTATTCTTGATTTATGTACATAAATAAACATCACGTTAAAAACAACTGTTACATGTTTGTATTTATTATTAATGCTATTAAAATGAAGTCATTATGAAGCACCACGAAGCATAAAAACATCTTAAAATATAGAAAGGAATCTCATCTGTGAACTTGAGGATTCAACCAATATGATATACTAGGCTTCATGGACAGAGTATCTCTGTAACGGTGACAAAACTTCAAATAACTTGACACAATACGCACGGAAGGAAGCAAGGAAAGATTATACGACTCACTTTGACTTCAATCTTAATTTTGACAAACGAAACTGGATCAAGACATTGTTTATCAGCAACCAAGTAATCTTCTTGAACTCTGGTCATTGAACCTATGTCACTGTCTATATTAGCAGTTACTTTTGCGAAGTCCACTTCAAGCTGTGGAAAAAGAACACTCAGCTAAGCTCGTGACAATGTCTCACAGACTGCCTTTCTGCACATTGTCAGAACAAACACACTGCATATCATCTAATACTTTACTTACTAGGATTACTTTACTTCTTTCAGTGTTTCCCAGCCCCACGTTCTGTGCTAAAACTGATAGTGAACCACGTACACAAAGCGTTCACTAACAAACCACAACAGAGAACAAACAAATCTGATGATCTTAATTGTGTAGGGTCAGGGCCAGAATGAAGAAGCGGCAACTTATATCGCAACTCACCTCAGTTTCCTGTTTCATATCAATGAGCTGATCATTGCCCTCTGAAGACGAAGCCAATGTTTCACCACCTGAAGCAGGTTCATGTTTCATCATATCCATGCTGTGCTGTAAAAATATAAAGTAAAGTAAAGCTGTGCCACTATATGCGCTTCAGGGGAGAGATGGCACAGTTCCTACTCATTCCTAACCTCGGCACTAGATGGAGGTGAGTGGTCAGCGTCGTGCCCCAACCACACTTTACCACCAGGAAAGGACCACGGAACCCATTGGATAGGATACTAGGTGAGACCCAGAGCCGGTCTGGACGCAGAGGCTAGAGGAAAAATCCTCTGCCCCGTCGAGGATCAAACCCTGGTCGTCCAGTCCGTAGTCATTTTCAAACATAAGAAAAGATTATAGACAAAAGCCTGCCACAACACATTTATAGACTTGCATATAATGTGCTAAGCCTTGCCACAGAGGCATTTGAATACAATCAGTTTCTCTTCTAAGAGGTAAGCTTGAAAATATCAAACTCCTATCTCCTGGGCACAAATGGTATCTAAACACTTGTTAGTCCAGTGTGGAACTAGCAGCTGATGGTGGTAGGAGTATGTGATGAGTGGCAGCTTGGAATAGCATTCTCATGAAATTCTCCAGCACAGAGTCTATACATTAAAATGCCAAATCCTGAAATGCCACCAACTAAGAGAAACTCTCCAAATCAGCACACCTGATGATCCAGCTTGGGTGGTGAGAACAGATTGGATAATAGGTTGGGAAGTAAAGATCTATTGGGTGAAGATCATTACTGAGAAATCCGGGAGAACTGACCATTCAGATGGAATGTTAGGGTACGTACAAGACAGAGCCTAGATGGTCACTGGTAGACTGGATGGTCGCCTAGCATGAAGAATGGAACAGTGTATTTTAAATATGAGTGAACAAGACGAGGCCTGGCCGGTCGCTTGCCAGCTCGGAAGTCAGGCATGCGCAAAGTATGATTTCTATTCCATGTGGGTAATGAATTTGTATGTCAGTTACGGGTGCCGTGCAAAATGGATGTGGAAAAGTTTATTTGCGTTTTATTATGCAGTTTACAAATAAGCAGTTCAATAAATATAGACATACATTCTGAAAGCATCTCTGATAATCTTGGCACTTCGAGTATTTCGGCCCGTATGCACCTACAAAAAAGAATCTTTTGTAATTAGCATTGCAGAATGAACGTTAGTACAAAATAAACGTAATTATACGTCAGTCAATCTCTTATGATAAACATATATATTTCTGCACATTGGCACAAAAACTATTTCAGGATACCTCAATGTAAGCACAAGTCGCTCTTCCTGCACGATGGGATTTCCATGACAGTTTTTCCATTTCTTCTGAATCTTTTCTCTTGTCACACTCAAAATATAATCAAACATTTCAATTTCCATTCTTAAATACTTGAAAAATTGACTTGGATAATTTCTTAACTTTTTCTAGAGATGGTGATATTCTCCAAAATTATTTGTCGACATTGACTGGAAGCATTTGATACTCCCGCAGAGATAATTCTTGTTGCAACAAGAACCATTTAGAAGCACAGCTATCCAGTAATTCCTCATCGTCACTGCCACTACTTGAATACATAGTTTTTACAGGCACGTCTAGTACTCAACTACCAGTCTCGGAAATGAGTC